AAGAAAACACACTCGCGGTTAAGAATTCCGAAGAATTTGTTACTGCGATACAGCAACAGCAGCTTGGTGATGAGGATGTTATGGTATCTATCGATGTCGTGCCTTTGTTCACAAATTTACCTATAAAATTGGCTACAGATATAATAAAGAAAACGACTGCAGGATTATTTTATCTTGTCAAGGTACACTTCTATGACTGTATATGACGTCGACATACTGTAGAGGTGCAGTGTGAAGCAAACTTTCACTTTTGCGGGAATTGTATATGACGAAATAGATAGATTGATTGATATGTGAGTTTAATGTCCCAAAACCACCATATGAATATGAGAGACGCCGTAGTGGAAGGCTTCGGAAATTTTGACCACCTGAAGCTCTTTAACGTAGACCCAAATCTGAGCACACGGACCAACAACCATTCCGTCTCCACGGGAAATGCGGCCGCCGCAGTGGTGATTCAAAACAGCGGCCTGCGGGTCAGCAGCTGAATACCTTAGCCAGCGTACCACCGTGGCTGGGCTACCACAAAATAGCAGGTGTCCCGCTTAGAAGTCCCGTGTCGGTAATCGTGGCACGTATGGTAATGCAACACGTGGACACTACATTTGCATGTGCCGTGAAATAGCGTTCAGCCAGGCATCCCATACACTGGTGAAACAGAGGATAATGGCATTTAAGCTTTTCTAGATGTTCTCATACTTCCAAACGTGCGCGGTTCATTGGAGGGAGCCACATACAAAAATCTTGCAATAGCAGCACTAGTGCTCCGTTCCCAGTCGCACCACCCTGCAGAACACAAGTATGAATTTGTTCGTACTCTTCAGTGAAGCTGTCACATGCTATCGTCGACGAAGCCCCTCGGGAAGCGTGAAGAAACAAATGTTTCCAGTATTCTAATGAATGGAGCTACACTCAGCGGTTTGTTGACGATACGCTGCACCGCATTCGAAGACATCGTGACAGTAAAAACAGTAAAACAACATCCTTTGTGTGCAAGCCATATGTTCGCAGTGTGTCCTGAAGCAGTGCATGTTGTCTTGGGCTTTTTATGTGTTCGGGCTGTTTAGAAGCTCATGCGCACCCTGGAAAGTGTGTTTCCATAACAAAGAACCGCACGCTTCTAGACCAACAAAGCGGAGTTATATGGAAGGTCGAGTACATGGACTATGTTGCCACATCGACGAGATGGGGCAACTACATTGTACCCGCTTCAAGGAACACGCAAAAGATGTCACGAAAGCCACACATGCAACACAAGCTAAGCAATATTGAGTTGACCACTGCCTGTTAAAAAACACATGTTTGACCTCGATAATGTAACGATGCCGGTGCCAGAACACTGATGGCGGCCCGAAAATTTGCGGAATCATGGTATTTTCATTGTCATCAGCCTACGTGCACTAGTATTCGTATCCCTCTGCCGGATATTCATGGCGAGGTGATATTCTCTTTCTTGATGTCGTTTGTGTTGACGATGCATAGGAGGTGAAACGTCTATGTTTTGTTCAGTGGCGAAGATGCTTGGGTGTTGGTTGTTCCCTCCTATGTATGTACGTATTCCACGTGTACGTAGTATGTATGCAGCCACTCGTATAGTTGATAATAAAAAAGATAGATGGTGCTAGTTTAATGAGAATTTGAGCGTACATCCACGGAGTTAATGATGATGAGTAGGACAAAGCATCCATCTGTCCACCCGTCCGTACTATGCTCTAGTGTGATAGGATTGGACTGGTGGACGGACGGACGAACAGACAGACGGATGGACGGACAGGACAGATGGACATGCGGACGAACGACGCACGACCGTTCGTATAAATGGACAGACAGACAGTCAGGGACCGAAAGACGGAAAAGCGGACGGACCCGCCGAGGGACAAACACACCGACGCTTCGCCGCACTGATCATTGACTCCATGGACATACTGTGAAATTTTTTTCTTGAGTAAAGCGAGTGATAAAAGTATTGGAGACAAAACACTAGTACTTATAATCTACCGCGGCCTGTCTTTCTCGCCGGGGAGCAACAATTTAGCTGAAATTTGTGTGAATCAATGTGCTATAGCACTTTCATCAGCAAATGATTTCAATTCACCCAAGTTTCATAACCAAATCTAACGTTACATTGCTACGCGTATTCTCAAATGGTGTCGAAACATTTAAGGCTCCTCTTCTTCTACTTCTATGTTCATTCTTCATTTACACAAAGAAGGAAAAACTTGCTTGCCTTCTTGACTTCGTTCTGTCACAAGCAGAACTTTTCACTTCTAATCCTTATACCACTGTCTCAAGCGCTCGTTCCACGCTTCGTGTCATATTCTGTAACCCTCGGCACTGACTGAGCGCATTTAAGCGTGCAGTCTAAATTATAAAAAAAAAACAGCTCGCGCTCCCATGTACACGACTCGCTCATCTAAATTACCACAAAGATAAGAAGCTTCATAAAAACACAAATTTTCTACGTGGCGCTGTGTTTCAAAACCAGGCTTGTGTTCCGGCAGGTCAAGTTCCCTAGTTGCATGAATACTCACCTTTTATTTTTCAATTGGAAAAGCCATCACGCGTCAACACACATTTAACGAGAACGATTCATGAAACAAAGTAAACATTATTTACCATCCCCTTCCTACGCGAAACTCTCTTCTTAAAGCCCCATGAGTGTTGATAAGGCCGCAAATCTGGGCGGCCGCTCACGCACAAGCTGTTGCAAGTTCAGCTATAAATGAATTCACAAAACTATGCGCGTGCCTATCTGTATTTCATGTCAGTATGGTAGCCAAGCATACTTTAGAATAATATAGAGTGAATTACTTTGGGTATGCTCTGATAACACGGCAGTCCTTCATTGTCATGTACCGCCAGAAACTGACGCACAGCAGTAGCATATGCCTTGCACGTTCTAGAAATACACCACTTCCAAGCAGCGAATAACCACATGGTATCTATGACCTGTTTTCGCACAAGTTTGCTGAGAATTCCACATAGTATGTGGAAAACAGAATATTCAAGATTGTTACTGCCAAGCAACGTTCTGCGGTGGTATGGTGTTAACCCGTTACAAAACATGTACACTGGAGCTTCGAGTATGCATGCCTCTGTCTGCATGAGACTTTAAAATACCATCACCCAAATCCTTGTACAACTTTTACCACTTCAACATTCAGCAAAGTCTGATGCAAACATACAGAAAGACTTCACTACCGACTATTTCACGGACGTGCCACTTGACCGATCCCATGGTGGTTTCTTTACGAACCGCAAGCTGATCGAGAACTCCGTGTAAGCCTTGTTCAAGTTAGTGTGTGCAAAGTATTGTCGTTTGTATGTTAAAACAATCTACTCCACAGTTCATTGCAGGAAGCAGCGCATTCTCGCAGAGCTACCATGGATCACCAAGCCGAAAAAAGAGATCACCTCTGCTGCATCTCTTTCAGCCTAATAACAATGCAAGAATGGTAAACACATGATGCACTCTCTGCAAGTTAATCAGGTCTACTGAACAGTTAGATTGTATAATTCCAGATATGTTGCACGCCGTTGCTCTCACGAATGCAAACATGGGTCGGCCATTCTGTCTGATTTGTTTTTCTTCTCGCGCGTTCAATCTTTTCAAAATTCACCCCTATCTTTGTAGCTAACAAAGCGTACCTCGAGCTATATGACTGGCGTTCTCACACCTCAGATGTGAGGAACGTGTTCTGGAATAGACACCCAGCTGCCGTGCCAAAAGCCAAGCAATTTCCGCTAGTGCAGGAGCCATTCGTCAATTACAAATATTCTGACGACGCTACTTCAACCCACTACACTCTAAATGTCTTAACATCAGAATGCCATATTGTCTGGATATCACAATAAGATCACCTCTGTTCGCAACCAAACACTTGCTTTCACAAAAAAGCAAAACAATGTCTCGAAGTATAAATAAAACTTGACGAGAGTAAGAGCTCAATAAACAATAAACAATTGTATTGGGCCAGTCGGTAAGGATCCACCTTGCTAGGAAGCGTAGCCACTATTACAAAGAACACACAACACTAGCGCGAACACACAACATAAACGTTTAGTTGAAGTTAAGCGCTTGTGTTATGTGTTCTTTGTAATAGTGGCTGCGCTTCCTAGCAAGATAGAGAGTAAGAGGCCAGCGCTGCTGAATCGAGTGCTTTACGTTAGTGGATGGTTGTGACGTCGCATGCACGTCATTTGAAATACATAATCTCTCTCGTCCCTTATTACATGGCCTAAATTGCAGTGTTCTGGAATGACTATACTAGAACATTATGACTATACTAGAACAGCAAATATCATACAAAACGCAAGATAAGGTGTTTTTCAAGTCTACCTACAGAGCCGCTACTGCATTGTATACGAAATCACAGCAATCAACCGAATGGTTCTTCATCTGAATGTACTGGGCAATACAGCCAGACTTGCAGTAATGTGAATATATCTCAGCCACAACATTGCATGTGGCGGACGCTACACAAAAAAGTGCCATGGTAGAGAAATTCGGAGAACTGTTTCCTTTTGAACATTTAGTGCTCAAAGAAAAGAAAACGCAGCAACAAAATTGTATCTGCGAGTATTAAAAAGCAAACACGTGCTTCAGATCTGATGGCGTGTGCCTCCGTTTCAGTCTTTTCAGATGCTTCAGCATGCTAAAACCAAAAGAAGAGACGCCATGCCTCTGGCGTCTGACACGAACTTTTTAGTTAGGACCAACACCTTCCAAAGTTTTTCAATGGTACGCAAAACAAAACACACAAGTGATTCTTCATATTTTTTGCACACTAATTTGCATCTGTAGCTTTCATGTTTTCTGAGTAGATATATAAACTGTAAAAAGTATAGCGAACTTCGTTATGCTACTAAGCATAGATTTCTCTGGATTCGTAAGTACTATCACGAGAGTACTATTAGGAAGGCATTAGGCAGTAGAGTAATATATGCAGACCAAATCACGGATATAAAAGGCGCACTCCAAGAATAACAAAGTAGCTTACCTGTCTTGTACAAATATCTTTTTGTCGGCGCTATCTTGTGTATAATCGCTGCAGTAGCTCTGCGAAAGAGTATACATTTTGAACGTGACATTTGTGGAAGAGGCGTTTCAGGCTAACTAGGGGCCAAAAATACTATACCCCTTGTTTTTGCAGAATAGTGAGCATAAAAACAACTTCCAGATATATTCGAGTAAAACTGGCATGCCTGTGTTAATGCATTCCACGGAACCAAATTTACGCCATGAAAACAGCGAAAACAGCATCTTGAGCAAGATAAGTTCTTTGTCATTTTCTGCACCCAAGGCTTTTTTGTCTGGTGAAAATCACCAACCAGACCGTTTATCTAGTCGCATTATATTTCTGAACAAGGTTAGTTTTCCAACATGGCCAGTTCGCGAAAGCTAATAGGACGCCGAAGTAATGTAATAGTGGGAAACTCAGCACTGTTTCGTGAACGGTGTACTACTATGAAGTTTGTTTAGTGGCGTGTTAACATCCTATATGTTCTAGTTCGTTATAGAGGTGGAGCTACATCATGTAGCTTTAGATAGGTCCCTGTAACCCGAAACTATGCCTTAGCATACGGCGTATTTCATCATACCGCCCATTTTTTTACAATTTTATTGATAAGCCCTCAGAGCTTTGGCTGAACGCGCCTTAGGTCTCCCACACAAAGACGTCGATACTTTGCCTCAGCGCCGCCTCATGGGCCTACTAAACGGCCCAAACTTGGTAGCCGAAGCCGAAGCTGTGCAAGGCAGCGGCCTATTGTGGAGGAAAGGTTCCGGAGTGAGCACCTGATGCAGTTCTAGAGAATGGTCCAGCTTGGGAGAATGTCAGTTAACGTGGTGGCAAGCACACGGAAAATTTATTCCGCACGTTCACACGCAGTCGACTGTACAATCTTGTGCCCTGGCATACATGCGGGTGTCAAGATAGTGGACATTTGTATCAGCCTCTTTCTCTAATCAGGCATCGGCTTTCATAAACAGGTCGTCGTGCTATCGTTCGCGTTTTTAAGAATATCACTTTGATCGTCCCGTGCATCTTTCTATAGTTGAAGAACAGGAGCTACCTACTCGTTCGTGATAGAAACAACACATAGGCGTTTGCACATTCTGTATATTGCACCTTATATTGTACATAGCGCTCTTATCAAATGGTCGGAACCAAGTCCGATAGAACAGGAGTGTGGTGCAGTATAATGGCTTCGCAAGTCTATTTCTTGTAGTTCTTCTTAGAGCACTGGCATAAGACATTTCAGTTCTGGTAGATATTTTCCGAAATAAATGAATGTGCTGTGTGAGCAGCATATTTATATTTCGCTGCCTTACGGAATCACAGCGGCTTAATCCCAATTCAAGCAGAAACAAGAGGTTTATCTTGATTATAGAAATGTAAATTCGTTCTTATCAAATAGGTGCCTTTTTGCACCAAATTGTCGAAAAAACGCTTATGTACACTGTGCACATATTGCCGGCAAAATGACACACGTATTATTGTGTAATAGTAACAAAACGAAAAGGAACACAACATTGGTACTCTTCTTCAATTCAAACTTGGTTTTGAAACATCAGATGCGTCCGGATTTTGCACACCGCCTGCATCCTCTTATCCAACTGAGAGAAGTCCATTTATTCTCTACCATGGGCACTCGCGAAAAACCCTAGCTACCAAAATCACAGGAAACAAATGTACCAAAGGACAATACACTACAGGTCTGCCGTGAGGAGACCTTCAACTTTGAGTAGTGGGCTATTATTGACATTATGCTGAACTGTATGGGCGTACCAGTGTATAGTAGACGAAAAAAACCTGGTCAGCCGTCATATTTAAATGATTGAGGCGGTAGTCCTTGTTCAAGTAACGCTTCGTGTACAGCCTCTGCTGATAATTCTGAAATGACAAAATGATAGCATTATGAAGATGCCACTAAAATAAATATCAATTTCATGTATTGGCAACATTTGTCCCTTCTCAAGAATTACAGGCAGAAATGCGTGTTTTTGTATATGCGAGGATACCTCCTGAATTACCTCATTAGCATAAAGTTGACTGTCATATTTATAGGTCGATCATAGTATGATACATAACCAACGTCCCAAACAGCTGAGCTGATACCCACGAAGAGAAAGCCCGTATTTCCTCCATACAGCGCAGCCCCGGATACAATCCGTACGACTGCTCTAAGCTCTTACCTTTTCTCTCAAGCTCATCGAGGCCACTCCAATTTGCAAACTGCAGGTATAACATCATCAAGTCTTCCTTTTTAGATTGTCGCCTAAATGCTATCGTGGCCAACGTTAAAGGTATAATTCCTACTATCTTCAATAATATTATCGCTTAAAACCAAATGGGTGCTCATTCTAATTGCTGCTCGTAAGCGTAGAGATTATTACTATATTTATCATCATGATTAAAAAGAAATGCCAGCCCCCCACCCCCCTCTGACGTCCAAAAGTCCGTCTGCACTCATGCACAAACACTTTTTTTCTAAAACGAAAAAAAAAATGGGAAGTTTGCGAGCGCTAGCTTGCATTGAGGCCGAACACCTTCAACGCCTAATTAAGTTAAGACGACGTGCTTCGCTTGTCTCTCGTTCACTTGTAGTTTCAAGAGTGGAAGCTCAAGCCCGAGATAATGGAGGAGATATGGTCAGCGGAAATAGAAACGCCATTAGCTCTATATCACAGGCCCCTAAAGAGCCTTTAAATTTACCAAAAGCCAGCACATTAATCTCTTTTGGCATTTCCCGTCTTCGCAGCACGATTCTTGACGTCGGCACATTGCTCTCGTGATTTCATGATAACGTAAGCTCTTGATTCGTTGGTATACGAGTTATATCATTTGAGAACTGCCAAATACCCTCCTTTAATTGTTATGCATCCTCTTACCTGCTCTTTGTCTCACACGACATTGTGCGCGATATGCTGAGTTTCCTTCTTTTCTACATCAGCAACGGCTCAACCGGAGACAGAAGCATATAAAACGCAAAATCCTGACGGTCCAAGCGCTTATTGTTGCCATTTCACGTGTTTTATGAATAAGTGTGGAAAAGAATATAGCGCTTGTACGAAGGGTAGGCAAGGCACCAAAGAAACTACTGCGTTGCCTTTCAACTTGGCACTGTTTAGGGTCCGCATAAGCCCTTTGTATATACAAGAAGCGTAACCGGGAAATGTTTTCGTGAGGGGGGCGAGGGGGAGTCAATCATACTTTACGTATGTTAGCGTGTGTGTCTCCGGGTCTGCATGTATGTACAGATGGATCCACTGTTAATGGGAACAGCTGTGTGAACAGCATATTTATATTTCGCTGCCTTACGGAATCATAGCGGCTTAGATATGCATGAGACTACTCGTGGTTGAAAGTTCCAACTCGTCTTGACATACTACTGACTTGAATGAAGAATGTTTCTTAATCCGTTTGCTCTAAGAGGGCCAGAAATATTGATGGTGTGCATTCGAGTGTTCCCTTTAACAGTGGATCATATTGTACATACAAGAAAAAAATTGGGAAGTAGGGGGAGGGAGGCCATACCTTCCTTGATTATACGTCCAAGCTTGCTGGCGAATGGTTCGTACAAGCCTGATTTGTGTTGCGTAGAGCCTTAAAAGTGGAAAGAGGAAAATATGGGCATAGAGCATACAGCACTACCATAGCAACAGCATGTCTGTTTTCGAACTCGGGCTCCTTTCAAGCCTGAAATTATGCTCAGAAAGTTTTACTCCCATTTCATTCATGTCATTTCAAACTAACCAAGAAAGGCATCGTGACGACTTGTCTCAGGAACGCATTAAACCAATCATGTGTGCACCTAATGAAGCAGAGCTTCCATAATCAGATCTCACAAATGCATGGATCTGGCTATCCGGACCATGTTTTAGTTTCGGTAGCATAAAAGGACATGAAAATAAATAGGGGAAGTACAAACCAACCGAACGTTCACGACGATATATAGGTAGAAACAAGACGCATGGCCGTAATTCTGTGTTTTCATCAGCTGTCGCATAACGAAAAGAAGGCAGTGTTTTGTCACAATAATTGGGTGGTACGTTCAGTGCCGGATAAACTTAGGAAATTAAGTGTAATTACAAATCAATCTCGCGAAGTAGGGTGGTGTGCACAAAAAGGCATATCCCCAAATTTTTTCAGTGCAAGTAGTTTTTTCTTTACCTTATTTCTTTCTCATGTGGGAAACAATGTGCCGGCCAAGCCAATAGGTCTTTGAATGAGTGACTGAGAGAGCACAGTTATCAATCGAATAAACTGTCCCCGGAAGATTTGCTCGTTCTTCACGTTCATGCATGTGGTTTCCAGCGTTTTTTCTAGAATACAATCATTGCTGGTCGGCATAAATATGATTTGAATCGTTTCATCGCGGAAGTAGAACTTATTGACGCTCTTGGCGATGTCGGTATCAGCTAGCCTTTAATCACACTGTCAACCAATGAGCTTGATTTCCTGCGTACATGGTGATACATGGTTTATCTGTTATGTTTTATTCAGATAGATTACATTGTCACACATTTCTCTGATTGATCCCACGTGCTTCTCTGTCTGCCTGACGATTATGGCTTGAAAGCGGCCCGAGTTCGAAAATAAACATGTGGTTGCTAGTAGCGCTTCATCCTCTTCGTCTATTCCTTCCTGTTTCCGTATTTCGCTTCGCGCTACAAAACATTGTTTCAAATGCATCACCAACGAGCCCACATTACAACTCTAGTCTCCGAAAAGCGTTTCTGATATTCTGAATCATTGAACACCCGCTTCAGGATTGTTTAGTGGGCCGCCATAGCGAAAAATGAGTCATAATATTATGCGGCATATGCATATATGCAAGGTACATGTTCAAAGCATGACTCTCTTCAAGTCTCCTCGCTGCATGGAGGAAGCATTGCGGTAATCTTTCGCATCACTTCACTGTTACTGCCAGGCGCTACCTCTGTATTTATGACGTTGGCCGAAAATTGGCATATAGTAAAGACATGGCGCACTGTGCACTCACCTCATATGTGACGCGTAGCGCGGCGTTTTCAGCAATCCTCGTGAATACATA